GCCACCCCCATTCCTGGGCAGTGGGCGGGGGAGTGGCCATGCAACAGGGTGGACTCTGGTCAGGGCCAGGCCAGGACCATCCCAGCGTGAGGGGTGTGGGAGTCACCAGATGCTGGTGATGTCCTGGGGGCTGGGATGTCACTCAGCAGCATGCACCCACTGGTGCAGCAGGAGGTTGGAGCTGCGGGTGTAGCCATGACCGCACTGCCCGCAGCGGAAGGGGCGCTCCCCAGCATGGGAGCGCTGGTGGCAAAGCAGGGCAGAGCGGTGGCGGAAGCGGCGCCCACAGTGGGAGCACTCGTGAGGTTTCTCACCCGTGTGCCGCCGGTGGTGCTCCACCAGGCTGGCAAGCTGGGCAAAGTGGCACCCACACTGGGTACAGGGGTAGGGGCGCTCCCCACTGTGTGCGCGCTGGTGCGCAGCCAGGGCTGAGCAGTGCCCAAAGGCTTGGCCACACTGGCTGCAGCGGAATGGCTGCTCCCTGCTGTGTGTGCGCCCGTAGGTGTGCCAGCTGGGCAAAGCACCGCCCACACTCAGCACAGGTGTGGGGTTGGGTGCTTGTGTGGCCCCGCTGATGCCACAGGAGGTTGGCACGGTCAGCAAAGGCACGGCCGCAGTCAGGGCAGGTGTGGGGGCGCTGGCCAGCATGGGCACTGCGCTGGTGCAGGTAGGAGCTCTGTGTATAGCTGCGCCCGCACTCCCCACAGCGGTAGGGGCGCTCACCCGTGTGCACCAGCTGGTGCCGCAGCAACGTGGCACTCAGGGCAAAGGCTTTGCCGCAGACCGGGCAGGGGAAGGGACGTTCACCTGTGTGCGCTAACCAGTGCCGGAGCAGGTGGGCTCGCTGGCGGAAGCGGCGGGGGCAGTCAGGGCAGGCGTGGGGGCGTTCGACACTGTGTGTCTGCAAGTGCCGTGCCAGCGTGGAGCGCAGCCCAAAGCTCTTGCCGCAGTGAGCGCAGGCGTGGGGGCGCTGGCTGGCGTGGGCGCCCTGCTGGTGCTGTGCCAGGTGGGTACTCTGCCGGAAGCTCTGCCCGCACTCCCCACAGCAGTAGGGACGCTCACCGGTGTGCACTCACTGATGCACCAGCAGCGCCGAGCTGCCAGCAAAGGCCTTGCCGCACGCCAGGCAGGGGAAGGGGCGCTCACCTGTGTGTGCCTGCTGGTGCGTGGCCAGCGCCGCGTAGTCGCAAAAGCCTTTGCTGCAGGTGGTGCAGATGTAAGGCCTCTCGCTCG